AGACTCTTCGTCTTATAAGTTCTCTTCCATATATCGCACAAACAGACCGTCGAGTGGAACCGATAGAAGATAGTGAGCGGCATTGTCACGTGCGTGATGATAGTCCACGCCCAGAACCTGCACCATAAGTGTTACCAGTCAATCACCAGGATCATATAGTGAATTCAGTGAAATTTAGTGGATTGCGAGAGAGAGGAGAGAGAGAGAGAGAGAGTATAGCTAACCCGTAGAAGTGCATTTGAACAGGGTTAGAGTCGGCCCGTCTAGTTTCCAGCGTATTGATGGACCACATGGCGAAGTTGCAGACCAACAGGAAGGTGACCATTTCACGACCCGGCTTACGGCGCATCTAACGTGTGCCAAATATATAGGCATTAATATATTGACTCCTTATCTGTGTTTTTGCTCTAAATTGCAATTTATATGCTATTCTGCTATTCGTATGAATTCATTGAAGTATATATTCTATGCGTTTAATACTCTGTTAGACACAAAATTTTCGAGATTTTTGTGTATACTTTATAAACAATAATATAAGTTTAGATATTTGCCTAAATTTTATGTCATTCGCTCACAGAATATGTCATATGAAAGCTAATAACTCTTATAAGTGGGTTTAGAGTTAAGTATAATTATACACGTGATTTTAATACTATCTTTAGATTTCCTTACAGATTTAGATTAACTAAAGTCTGTTGAATATAACGTATGTTAGTGCATTACCAATATGCAATCAGTAATTAACTTAGTTGATGACTATATTTAATGAACAAATTATATTCTGTATATTAAATAATGTAATCTAATATGAAAATGAAATACAGTAACAAAAAATAATGACAAGTAATATAAAAGCATAATAAGAAGTTTGAAAGACTGTTTGGACTCTAATATAAGATATCAATCCGATTATACTGTACTATAAATCCAATAATTGGACTAAAACTTGTTTTTTAGGCAAAATATATACATTTATTTTATAATTTATACGCCACACGATTATATCATTTTTAATTAACAAAATTAAAAACAAATGATAATTGATATACGACTCGTGTAAGTGATATCAAAATATGATGCAAAATAAAAACCAAACTCTACGTTAAAATACAGCAAGAATTTGGGTACAGAATAATTAAACGATTAATAATTAAAGCCAAGAATTTGATTACAAAATACCTGTTCACTGGTGGCGGCGAACCTATGGGAGGCATTTTATTGAGAATATTCACCCAAATCTCAATTCATATTAATATGTGCACTAAAATTATGATAGAAATCTAAAGGAATGTCTAAATCTAATTGATTTCAGACAACTTATATTGCATACAATCACGTAATGAAATATGCTAATGAAATATAGTTGATGACTATATTTAATGAACAAATTATATTCTGTATATTAAATAATGTAATTTAATATGAACATGAAATACAGTAACAAAAATTAATGATAAGTGATATAAAGCATAATAAGAAGTTTGAGAGACTGTTTGGACTCTAATATAAGATATCAAACCGATTATACTGTACTATAAATCCAATAATTGGACTAAAACTTGTTTTTTAGACAAAATATACATTTATTTTATAATTTATACGCCACACGATTATATCATTTTTAATTAACAAAATTAAAAACAAGTGATAATTGATATAAGACTCGTGTAAGTGATCTCAAAATATGATGCAAAATACAAACCAAACTCTACGTTAAAATACAGCAAGAATTTGGGTACAGAATAATTAAACGATTAATAATTAAAGCCAAGAATTTGATTACAAAATACCTGTTCACTGGTGGCGGCGAACCTATGGGAGGCATCTAATATGAAAATAGTTTGTAGGGTGGCCTGGATCAGACAGGCCAGTGCGTTGATCATGACCAGCCGGGTATTTTGTTGCAACGTAAAGAATTGGGCCCCGATTATCGAGAACATCGTGAATATATAGAGCCCTATCTGTGCCACAATCAACAGTATGTTATCCAACTCGACATTCCGGTGCCGATTATAAGGCAATTGTCGCACCTATACGTTTGCAATTAAATGTATATTTGATTATATGATTAGATATACTAGAATCTAGTAACTAGATGATTTATGCTAATAAACACCTGGAATAAGGCTATAAGGCACGCGATGGCGTTAATGCAATATATGAATAGCTCGATGATGTGGGCCTGGAGTACAGCCAAGTGCCGGAATTGGGGTTTCTTTATGAACACAAAGAATAGTATCAATGATATGATACTAATCACTAACAAGAATATTCCGGTGAATAGGCCTTTGTGTGCTTTAGCGCAGTCCACCTGCAAAATGTCAATACAGACACCAATTTAGTCACTAATCGGAAAGTCGTTAAATATTTAATTAACATTTAATTCAATTTTTTGGCAAAAAAACTTATTTAATAAATATTTATAGGTATTCAATATTGAATTACGAAATATAAAGTTATTTTATGTTGAAGTGTTTATTTTTAGAGACTATAAGCGCTGAAACAAAAAACAAACATTTCTCAAGTGTTTATGCGATTGAGACATATATCACAGTATACCGGGTCTATCATATTTATATGTATCCAATAGTGTGTGTGTGATTTAAATGCTAGATTAATTAGTGAATCGCATACCTGGTAGTGGTGTTTGTGGTGTATTGTGTGCACGACTGTCGTACTACTCATTGAATGCCGTTGTTGTGAATTCTGTCGCTTAGTATTGAATTTCCTATTGCTGTCAATGGAGAGACAAAATCTAATTTAATGTCTATTTTTATCTCACACTGTATTAAAAGTTGTTTTTGTTTTTGCTGTCAATTTAGAGTCCAAATCAATACGAGTTTCGCAGCACATATTGACTCAACCCATACGCCAGACAATGCATTAAAAAACTTATATTAAACTTTTAATACACTTTAATTTAATACAGTGTTTGCGGTAATCAAACAAACCATAACTACTGGACTAGTTATATTAAGCATACAAAATAAATACATGCCTGTCCTCAACATCTTTCCACATGATGTACAGAATAGCGGCACAAATGAGACTATACTCTATAGTGCAGGGGAACAGGAACTGCGAGGCGTCCCTCACGAGGTCGCCGATCACGTTAGAGCGCCTACACTCGCCGTGTGTCGTGTGTATGGAGTGGTCGGCCAGACTTCGCTTCACGAGCTGGTGGTTGGCCTGCAGTCCGGACGGATAGGACGGCCCAATGGACTCGAGATAGTCTTCGGAGATCTCTTCGACCACATCGTCCACGTGTTCCCAAGCGATGGAAAAGTCGGTCATTTGGAAGAGTTCTGTGGTATTGGGGTTCACTATAATCATGATCTGGTGTTTGGTCTCCTGGATGAGCACATGGAGCCAAACGCAGATATTGGTGGCTATCATATGCATGAGTCCGAAACGGGCTGTCAGTCAATGGATTATAATAATAATAAAAAGTTTGCATTAATTTTCGTAATTGAATTGAGTTTTGATGTTTGCTTTTGAGTGCATTTTGAGTCCTTTTTAGTGTGTGTTTTGTGTTTGTGTTTAAAAGTTTTTTTTGATTGAATTATTCATGAATTATAGAGACTCTGAATGGGTTGTCAATTGAATGGCAGGCCATTTAATGGCCGGGCGTCTAAGGGATACCAAGCATTGACTCAATTAAATGGTATTTGTTTGGAGAGAAGGGTTTTTTGTCTTTTTATTAATGTAATGAAGGAATAAATATGTGTTTCAATTGACACAAAATGCAAACATTATAGTCGACTATCGAAAACAACATTTCTATTCACTGCCGAAGTCTAAGAATAATAATAAGATTTGAGTGAAAATAAACGATTGAATAGATTTTGGGTTTCATTTATATGTGGATTACTATTGCCGTCAAATGAATTGCAAAGAAAGCTATGTTTTTGGTTTAATGAGTGCCCATAAGAGTCAACATTAGATACTCTATCCAATCAATTGTATAATAAATTAATTGAATGCTAAATAAAATGTTCGCTCAATAGGAGAGAGAGAGAGAGAGAGAGTACTTATAAATAAAAAGCCTTTTAATATACACTAAAACACATGTAAACAGAAGTCAAAGAGTTTATGCATTCGCTTATATATTAATAATAATATAATATTAATAACATTAATAGGCAGTCATCAAGAATTTATACCAAAAAACTTATTGACTATAACTAAACAAAAGCAAACGAGAAACGACTTGAATAAACATTAAGTGAAAAACTCATTATTAATACAATAAACGCCATAAAAAAAGTGTATATAATTTACGCACAGAATAATAGCGCAAACAATACTTAACTCATAAGACAACAAACAAACCCAAAAGTGGTTCAAAATATATTTCTCGGAAAATACTTGACAGCAAATAATGCACACCATATATGACTTACCAATTAGCTTGTGTTTGCCTATGAGGACCCGGGAGTTCATGAAAATGAAGTATAGCTGTATGAACGTGAAGGCCACGTGAGACCCGGGTGTAAAGCCGTACAGAAAGTTATAGCAATGCTCTTTGGACTCGAGCTCAAAAAACTGGGCGAACTCGAGGCCTGAGTAGATCATGGATCCGATGCCAAAGGCCACGGCACCGGCCCTCAGGTAGAACGAGCCGCACTGGCCGGCCGGTAGGCCTTCCAGCGCGTACTCGTCCGACCCGGAGTCCGACGTCTTGGCGCCGTTCTCGGAGTCCGACTCCTGGGCGGCCGAGTGGTAGCGCTTCGGTAGCATCCGCTGTAGGAACCGCTGCAGTCGGCCCATGGGTTTGTTGTGGTGCCGGTGCAGTAGGAATAGGTAGACGAATATGAGGAACAGTATGGAACCCATGTATAGGTAGAGATAGAAGCCTTCGTACCATCCGATGGGTATCCGATGCGATATGACTTCGGCCATCGGGAAGCACACGCCTGACCCACACAACAAATGTTAGACTTTTTTTGTTTGGACACAATTTAGTTATTTATGCAAAGTTTATAAGAATATTCTTGAATACAAAATTCGTGGAAATATTTTATATGCTATACTGTGTATACTGTATATATTCTGTAATAGGGTATTCTGTATACGATATTCTGAATAATAAAATTCTTGAATGCATTTCCCTTTGAATAACTCAACGAAATCACTCAAAATGTTTGCATGAATTCTTGAACTCTCGAGTTATACGGAATTATATCAAGAATTGCATTCATATATCAATTCATATGTCAAAACTCCTACACAACCCGTTTGACTGCTATTTCGTGACATTTTCTTATTTTTTGCAATTTTTGTTTTGTATTCAATATTCTTATGACATATCAGATGACAACAGTTTTTTTATAGACGTTTGGATAATGCTGTTCATAAAATGTTATCTCACGTGAGTTGTGCCGATGGTACGGCAGGTGCCGCAGCCATACGACAGCCCGCGAGACCCGAGCGTCAAACACACAGAGGAGCTCCATGATCTCAGCCCTCTTACGGCTCCTTTCGATGACAATCCGATTCACGTCGTAATAGTTTGGTGGGGAAGGGCTGTGCGGCGGGTCGGCCGGCTCTGTCACTGTCGTGGTGACCGTGGGTGTGGTGGCGGTGGTGTCGGCGCGACCGTTGAAACTCAATTTGTCGAGCTTTAGGTTAACTTTGGGTATATTACGGACGGATAGGTTCAGAGCGCCGATACTACGCTCGGAGTCGCTCCGGGCTTTCGATATGTCGTTCATTTGGTGCGGATTTAAGTAATGGGTATTCATTTCCAGTGAATTCATGGTTGCAATCGATTTTGGTTTCCGGTGATTGAGATTCACATCAATTGGTTGAANTTCACTTTGGGTATATTACGGACGGATAGGTTCAGAGCGCCGATACTACGCTCGGAGTCGCTCCGGGCTTTCGATATGTCGTTCATTTGGTGCGGATTTAAGTAATGGGTATTCATTTCCAGTGAATTCATGGTTGCAATCGATTTTGGTTTCCGGTGATTGAGATTCACATCAATTGGTTGAACAAGTTTTTTGAGTGAATAGTGGGTTTTAGTGCACGAATACACTGGTTATTACACGGAGTTTATGAAATTTACTTGAATTTAATGATGAATGTGTTTTTGTGATTATTATTTGTTATTTTTTTTGCGAAGATTTCTCGTTAAAAAAGTTTTTGTTAATCAACAAAACAACAAAAGTTTACAGGATTATACTATAAATAGAAATACTGAAAGAAAATAGTGTTAAGAGTGAGAGAAAAAAATAAATGCGATTCTTATGAGTGAATTGAAGTTAACGATTAAGTAAACAAAATAAGGAGAGAGAGAGAGAGAGAGAGAGAGAGAGAGAGTCGAAGGAAATGATGAGAAACTATAGGGAAAAGTGTTGAGAGGGAGTGAGAGAGGGAGGGAGAGAGAGAGTGAGTGACAAGAGTTTTATTGATTTCAGCGCTAATTATGTTTAACTTAAGCTAAACTCCGAGTGTTTTTCTATAGCTTTTGTCATGCGATACAAAGTCTTAAACAGTCGTACAATAAGTGGTGAATCGTTTTGACGATTTCATGTGTTAAATAACAAGAAATTTATAGATAAAAATACGCGAATTTATTCATTACTGATATAATAATGATATATTATACTGGAGACGGAAAGACTGGCGAATAATTAATATCATTCATTGAGTGCTAAATGAATCGACACTTTCTGAAAAACACGTTATGCAGTATTTATACAGGATTTCAATCGTTAAATTAATAATTCATTTGAATTGCGATTAGAGTTTTCACGTCAAATACCACAACAAAAATAGTGATAATTTAATACTGCATTCACTGTCAATGGTATTACAAACGAAATAAACTATTTTTTGCAATAAAAATCTATTCCCACAATAAAATTAGACACAAATTGGATGAAAATCAGATTTACACCGTATTTATAGAATTATAGAAACAAAATATTTAAATAACTTAATAAAATGTATAAACTTTTGTTTTTAAACACATTTGCACCGAAATAAGTGCTCAAATATTAAGGTCTTTGAACGGATATTAATGTTAAATAAATATATTTTTCAATTATACTTCTGGTCGTCAAAGTAATCAAAGTCTTCACAACATTTTAATCATAATTTCTATGTTTGAGCTCTAGTTTCGAGTGAAAGGCATTAACAGACACTTCAAACACACGAACAACACATTAGGAGATAATTATTATTTACTAATCCTTATATACTTTTCATAGATATATCTATTTATATCTCAGGGTACCAATACTCAGGGTACAGTGAGCATAGAGATGCAATTAATCGACCAGAATATTACACTATATTCAATATGCTGTCATAATTATTATCAGGAATACATTACATCGATAATTAAAATATATAATTAACTTATTCAATGATATGCAGTAATGTATTATGTATTACGCTATAAATTAGGTAAGTTAGTCGGGGTAGGGTCTGGTGCTTATTGTTCATTGTCTTAATACCCTCGACCACTCTCCGAGACCTTGATTACAATGTCGACGAGTGGTCGACCTAATGATAAGACAGCCGTAACTATAATTATAATCACAGCGAAACACAATATTAGTATTACTATTATTATCATCAAAAGAGACTAATAGTGTTGTCATATGTTTGTGAGCCGTATCTCTCCAGTAATGATCCCATAATTACTCATCTATTTTGCGGCACAAAATTCTTTGATCACCAGAAATGCTAGAGATTTCTGTGTGTATTAGTCGTTGAGATAATGTATTTGCCGTCTATTTGAGTGTTTTATGCGATAGAGAAATAAAGTGATAACCATTTGACTAACGATTGGTTTACCCGATACAATATATCATTAATTGTTAGTTAAGTAGAGATTATTATTCAACAAAACTAATTATACACTCTTATAGTGCAGTGAAATATAAATATTTTTTTAGTTTAACACAAAAACTCTTAGCAAAGAATATTCACTTCAATAACAAAAGCTAATCGAAATTCATTGTCACTCTTATAACCGATAATTACCGGTATTTTCTCACAAAAACTCTCATATTTATCAGTGATATCGGACAGAGATATACACATAAAGGCGCTGAAGGGCTAGGGAACACCAAATATTGAATTGTGCTTGTTTATTTGAATTGTGTATATCCGTAAACATGATACAATTATACAGAAAGCAAATTTATATTTATTATATTTATGCATGTTGTTTGACATAATTTTTTAAATTTGTATTCACAATTTGTTTAGTTAAAAGGTTTCCGACTATTATCTTGCTTACTTTAACAGCCTGTCTATACCTGTCTATACCTGTCTATAGAATATGTTTTATATTGTATGAGATTAAGAAAAATTCTGTGAATAAAATCTATTATAAGCACCACTTGTATATAACACTTGAAAAAGTATACAACTCTTAAAATTTTATTATCAAAACCTAATGGACAGACAGTGTGACAACAAATCTCAAGATAAATGATTTGGTATTTATAATAAATGAGTCGTTTATTACTATAAATAATGTTTATTAAAACGGACGAAAAGTGTCGTTTTAGTAAAAAACTTCCGCAAATAAGTTACTCGTATTTAAAGGGAAATATCAAATACAAAATAAATGTATATCACTCGAGGAGTAGTCGTGTTTTATTGTTGTTTCGTGTGATTTATGGCCACAATTTCAGAGAGTGTCCAGAATTACGGATATATTCTGTTATTTGACACTAATTTTATCCAATTGTGTCTATAGTTTGTCGCCAATCGTTAATCTTATTTCGCGATCTCTTTCTCTGCCATATTTTTTGAACATTTTAAGACTTGAATCAAGTTTTTTCGTGTTTGTATTTTTCAAAAGTCTTTTTTGATTTATTAATTGATTTTTATCGACAGAAATATAATCGCAAAAATTATTTGTAGCAACTGTACGAGCTACGTTTTCTCAAAATTCATTTGATTATTTAAATATTATGTAAAACTATATATTATCGCCTCAATTATTGAATGTAATTCACTCAACAAAATAATGTATTAATGTTTTTACAAGTAATGGATTTTATTATAATAACAATATTTAGCCTAAAAATAGCTAAACTTACGGCTCGAGTGAACTGAAGTGTAAAACAATAGCCAAAAACTCATTTAACGCCCACTTTTTATTTGGCAAAATGTCTTCAAATTTGATTAAATGTATGTTTAGATTGTCGTTAAATTCAGCTATTTTTGTACTTTTAGGCACCGATACTGTCTATAAGTTTATGATTAATTGCATTATTCTTATACTCTTAAAGTCAATATTTTTGGAAAGTTTATAAAAATTAAAATATAAAATATACGTAAGATTTTTTGGTATATAATTAACTAACAGTTATATTACGAACTTAGAGACTATTCATTTAAATTAAGACAATATTTAAATATATATCGACATAAATTTGTGACAAATGATCATAATAGTCATTAATTGTCATAATTATCGTCACAATTATTACAGAATATTCTTTAAAATTTAAATTCTTAAAATAAAGTTTTTGTGTGAATATCATAGACTCTATGGGAATAAAACAAAATAAAATGATTTATTATATGCCGTACCGTTTGGCAGCTGTTCATACATTTTAGAGTTTATGAATTGATTAATTGAAATGAGATTCTGATTAAAGAATAAGTTTTTTTGATATCCAAAAACTTGTCGACATTTAATACAAATTGATGACTGCTTTCATTTGGTGGGCCCAACGGGTAGGCCTATTATATATGCCTCATAATTAGTTACACGTTAAACATATGAATGAAAAATCAATGTCACGTCAAATGTCGTGTAATATATATTTTTGCAATTATTGATTGATATGTTATATCAGAATTCATTCGTTATATTCACTTATAATTAAATTAACATCAAATTCATATTAGAAGTTGAGGTCATTTTAGTCGAAATTGGTAATAATATTTTTATTTATCCGGGAACTTAATTAAATATAACTCTAATTAGCATTTACAAAAATCTAATTAATTTCTCGAGTTTCATATAACCTCGACATTTGAGGGGAAAATAAAAGTTTAATTTCATTTGTAAGTAAAAATTTTAGATTATTTTTCATTTTAGGGATGTTTTTAGTCTATAAAAAACTTAAATTGAAATTAAAAGCTAATCTCTTATTGTTTGACATCAAAAAATAAGTCAAACATAAATAAATAGACTTATAATTTAATTTATCTCTTTCAGTGTAATTACTTTTGGTATTTATAATCTCTCTCTCTCTCTCTCTCTCTCTCTATTAGCCGCCGATGCGGTGCCAGAGATTATATGCGAATAGATTTTTAGATGTAATGCATTTCAATGTCTGTGACAATAAAATAGAGACTCAACTGCTTTTTGTGTACTGAATATAATGTACAGACAGTGTATATACTGGAAGGCAATGATTTTAGTCGCTCAACCATTTTATTGATAGTTACGACAGATTGCATGGAATGTGTATTATATTAATAAAGAACTGTCTCATTTCTTATCTTCATTTTGCGATTACATTACAGAATATTCTGTAATATATTTACTACGGTATTGTCTAAATGCAATTCATAAATATGTAGCAATTGTTAAGAGAATAACATAATATTGATTGAAATCTGTTAATTCTGATTGAGTAATTTATTATAAACATTTAAAAAATCAATATTAAATTTTTGAAATTATTACTCAAATAATGCAAGCTTCATAATAATTTAATATATATAAAAACTTTTGCTTTTTAGAGACTTAACCTTTCATTAAACATAATAATTA